TTGGGCTCATGGTGCTTACTAGGCTTCAGCCCGTCAGCTTCGGTTCTAGGGCGTTTTAGCCGATCTTATCATCGGGTTTAGGGTTTAGGGTCTAGGGTTTAGGGTCTAGGGTTTGGGGTTTAGGGTTACGATTTACGGTTTAGGGTTTGAGCTTTGGTGTGTCGGAGCCGACGTTATCGCGAACACTTGGAAGAATGCCAAGGTAAAGTTCTAGGTTTGGAGTTTCTGAGTTCCCGTGGAGGCCAACAGCGGCAGGGGGCTTAAATTGTTTTGGGGCGTGCTTTTGTGTTATACGTCTGTCGAAAGCTGTCGAAAAGGTGTTGTAGGGGTTGTATAGGGCTCTTTTTTGTGGAGGGATGTTCATGGTTTACAAGGGTTCGGCTGTGTGACCTTGGTCGTATTCCTTCACCATGACACCGATAAATATGAGTTTGTAGAAGGTGTTAGCGATTTTCGCCATTCTGCGAACGGCTTGCTGGGACTTCTTCAGTTGGGTTTTGCTGTGAATGGCTGAATTTCTCACTCAGAGAATAGCTCCAAGGCTTATAGCCTACTTCTCAAAGGATCGGAACTTGGTAAGTAGGGTTATCAGATGTTAGAAGTCAGGTAACTTTAGGTCTATCTCCTTATAGCCCGAATTTAAGGTACTCTTACCCCGACTTGCTAAGTCCCACGATCCTCGCGGCACCTGCGAGGTGTCCTTGAGCTTACAGGCATCGCCCTGACAGCTACAGACCTGGTAACCCGCTCTTAGTTCGAAGCTCTAACTTAAGAACCCAAAACCCACTTTTTTGTAGGTTCTTATTGTAAACCCTAATGGGGTTTATAGGGACCCTACAAAAAAGTAGGTTTTGGGTTCTTAAGGTAAACCCTAAACCCCAAACCCTAAAACCTAGACCCTAAACCCAGGAACTAGTACAGCCCAGGTTGTCATCAAGGGACAAAAGGAGGAACCCTTAAAGGGACCCTTGGGGTTATATAGGGGCTTTATGAGGCTATATATAGGGTCATATAGGGTATTTGGATTAGGGGTCCCTCTAGGGGTCCCTCCTATTGTCCCTAAGTTATGAACTGCCGGGCTGCCACGGCCCCACAACTCCAGACACGAATTCTGAAAGTCCTGAAACCTTCAACTCTAAACCCTAAACCCCTAAACCCCTAAACCCTAAACCCCCCTAAACCCTAAACCCTAAACCGTGACCTTCAACCCTAGGCTTCAAGCCCTAGAGCCCTGAAGCCTACGCCCTAAATGGGGGAGACGGCGCCCCCCTCGAAGCTCCGGTTTAGGGTTTAGGGTTTAGGGTTTAGGGTTTAGGGTTTAGGGTTTAGGGTTTAGGGTTTAGGGTTTAGGGAAGAAAAAGCCTGCTGAACCTTAAAGCGCCCCTGGATGCAGGCGTTGTGCGGAAAATCATGGCACCTTGTCAGAAACAGGGGGAGACAGGATCATAAAGAGAAACAACGTCCAAACACTAAGCCCTTATTGTAATGGCCTCCCTAAATCCTACCCCATCAACCATAATGTCCACAAGCCCTAAACCCAAAACGACAGATTAAGCCCTAAACCTTCAAGCCCGAAACACGCAACCCAGCAAAGAATGCCTAAGCCGGTTTCTTGGCCCAAAGGGTCCTAAGTACCTCATGCAGGGGGGGGTAAAACCCATAATAATACTTCCTACCTACTATAGTATCTCTATACTTCTACCAAAAAAAGGTACTTAGGCTTTGGGTTGGGGCGCTGGAGTGAGCATTTAGGTGCTTGTGATTATACATCTGATTGAGAAACCCTTTGTGTTTAAGGGCCTTGCTATTTTATCTAGGGTCCCTATTATAAACAGGCGAAACAAGCAGAGGAGTTAGCATTTTAGAGGCTATAGGGTTTGGAGTTTTGGGGGTTTCGGGTTTGGGGGGGTTTTGGTGCCGTTTCAGCCCGCTGTTTCTTTCTCGGAAGGCGCGAAGCTGGCACTTGCGGTTGCGCAATTCCGCAGCCTCACCCGAATCCTAAACCCTAAACCCTAAACCCAATCTCCAAAGCCACCCTGAACTCCAAACCTGCGCCCTGACCCTAACCCCAAACCCTAAACCTCAACCCTTAAACCCAGTAATTTACAGGCCTTGATAATTAGAGTAGGGTTTTGTTGGTTCTTTATTCTAAATATAGTACTGCAGACCCCAAAACCCTATTCTAATTATTAATTAAGGCCCCTATATTATCAACTCCCCCTGATAAGCCCTAAACCATAAACCCTAAACCAATATTGGGGGCCATGATTCTTCTTCCATGACCCAGGAGCCCGAGCCCCTGGGGGCGCGTTGCTGAAGGTAAGGGTAGGGTTTGGGTTTAGAGCTTCGGGTTCAGGGTTAACCTGGGCCCTGAAGAACCTGCCTTTTTAGGGTTCCTTCTTATGATTTCTTTATATAAGTCCTTAAAACAGTAGTTTATTTGAGTTTAGAGTTTAGGGTTCAGGGTTTAGGGCGACGAATGCATGGCCTCCTGGTTTGCAACGGGCTGGGGGCGAACACGTAACCAGGAAGATGCATTGGTTGCTATACATGGGCGAAAATTATGAAAGGTTGCCTCCATCTTTCGGCATGGAGCGGAAACACAAGACCATCACTCGATATGCTGGGTCCAGCCAGAATACCAGGACGTTTGAACGATCTCTCTACGAGGAAGTCATTGCTCACGAGCTGTGGCACTTCGAGAACCTGCCCGAGTTTCCATTAGGCCTCGCTTTGGTGAACCCAAAGAAGAAGACACCTGCCATATTGAGGGCCCTGGTTTTGCAGAGTTTCCCGGGTGTGCCGAAGGAGGACTTATCGGTCTCTACGAATCTCCGGCTTCCTGGGGGTGGGGTGGCGAGCAAAGGAGACGTGCGCCGAGGTTTGGTGCCAGGTGTCCGTGCAAGGTTTAGGATCCTATTTAGTTGCTTTTTTATTTTGGAGTCTCGATCGTTTAGGGTTTCGGGTTTAGGGTTTAGGGTTTCCCCGTGATCTGTGTATCTTAGCCTAGTCCTTGAAGCGCCCCTATACCCCAAACCCGAAGCCCCCCCAGCATGTGTTCCGATCCCTCCGGCTAACATACCTTAACCCACCAGAACCTACTTTTTTGTAGGGTCCCTATAAATCCCATATTAGGGTTTATAAGAAGAACCAACAAAAAAGTGGGTTTTGGAAGGTTAAGGTAGGGTCTTTTTTAATCATTAGAGTAAGGTTCCGGGGTGAATTATACCCTAAAGTTCTGAGAAGGAGCCCCCATAAGGAATGATTTTGGCAGTTAGCCCGGCTGCTGTATTCATGTAGAGGCTGTAATAATTACCTACAGTTTTTGTTTTTTTTTTGGGGGGGGGTGGTGTTCTTTATTACAGTTCTAGTAAAATATACCACAAAACCCCATTCTAAGTTTTTAAGGCCCCCACATTACTTTCGAATTGCACGTTTAATATCCGAACGGCTAATCCAGCCTCTGATCATGCCAAGACGGTGTCCATGATGTTTCCCATGTTCGAGCTGGTGATGTTCGTCTCGGCGCACCAGCCCCAGACTCTAGGACATTTCAGGTGGGTAATTACCGTTATAGGAGCCTTATAGAAAGCCTATATACCTTATAGAAGCCTTATGGGAGCCGTATATACCCTAAACTCCCCACCTGTAGTTTCCTTTAACAGACTATGTCTTAGTTCTCGACGGGTGCAAAGCCTGCAACATCCCTAGATTCTAGGCCCTAGATCAGGAAATCCCAACCGGAACTAGGGAGCGTAGAACAAGGGATCTGGGATTTGCCGGAGTTTCGTCGCCAAGTCTAGTGACCCTGCACCCTAAACCCTTAAACCCTACACCCTGAACCATAACCATTTCTTGCTGCTGGAATGAGATGGTGTTTGGGTTTGTGCTGCAGGAAGGGGTTGAAGGCTTGTGGTTTGAGGCTCAGGGTTCAGGGTTTCGGGTTCAAGGTTTAGGGCTCAGGGTTTAGGGTTCAGCGTTTAGGATTGTTCAGGGGGTGAGCTCATCCCCCTGTTTGGTGCAGTGTTGAGATGCATGGGTTGTGCCCACATCCCATTGTTTACATCCGAGCCGTGTGGACACTTCCTCCGGAAACCGTGATGCATCATACATTCCAACACATTGCTGGAACCCTAAACCCTAAACCCTAAACCCTGGCCTTCGAAACGGTTCCTTTCCTGGTGGTCTTCTGGTTCATCATACATTCCAACACATTGCTGGCCTTCGAAACGATCCCGGGTTTAGGGTTTAGGGTTTTAGGGTTTAGGGTATCCCTAAACCCTAAACCCTAAACCATTTCCTGGTGGTATCCTCGTAGTTTCCTGGCGTTCTCCCGGGGGTCTCCTGGTGGTCGTGGCGGTCTTGTTTCTCGTGGTGGCCCTGGTCGCCCAGGTGTTGTAAACCTAAACCCTAAACCCTAA